AATCAGATACACATGTTCCTGGCTTTGCTCAGATGGGGTATTTCTACCTTGTCCAATCACAGTCTCTTGTTGCCATATAACTCATAATAAACCTCTAGCTGGAAAATGGATTTAGAGAAAATTTACCCTTAGCTCTCAGTAATTGCGACCTGGAGCAGCAGTTGGCATCCATACGGAAAGATCTGAAACCCAACATCTAAAAGAATTATTACAACTTACATAAAATGGAGGATTTGGCCATTTGTCTTATTTTGTATGAATAAAAGAATTGAAGGTGCTGAGTTCTGAACTTTGGATGGATTCCAGATCTGTTCCCTGTCCATCCTGAGGCATGGAGGAAAAGAACAGCTCAGGACAATGACTGTCCCTCCAGGGGCAAGACTGGAAGGGTGGCCTCCAATGAAAAATCACGTCCATGGTACCAATTCTCTGCACTGTGATGTCTACAGGAGACATTGGGCTTGATGCCAACCTCATTAAATCAGTAAATGTTCTCTGACCGACTGCAGCAGCCTTTGAACAGGATCCTAATCAGCACAAGAGGTTTTGTGTCGGTTTTTATATGTATAGTTATATACATTTGTTGGTATTTTGTTTGGTGTAGAGCAGCCTGCCTGGCTGAGTCATAGCACAGAACCATGCAAATTGGAGTTGGATTTGCTTTGCAGGCCAGTATTTGAGAGATCAAATAATAAAATCTTTCTTAGGTAATTGGACAACAGCTGAAACTGTGGACTCAAAGAGAATTTCCCTGGAGAGTCCCTATCTTCCTAGAAATGTCAAACTTGGTAGGCCAGGCAAAGCTATTGAGCTAAAACTTAGCAGAAACCTGTCACGTATCCAAATACATTAAAATACCACTTCTTAGTCAATAAAATGACAGTGCTGAGCTTAGCAGAGATACCGAGCTCTGTGAACTGCAGACAACCCAAGCAGTTTTCACACTCAAAGCCATGTGAGTTACTGAAGATAAGGACTCCAGCCGTGACCATGGGAAACACAGGAAACTCCAGTGAGACTCGGTGCCAGGGAGGTGCAGCCCAAACCTTGTCTGCTTCAGGAGGATTTCATTCCAGGCAGGGTAACAAATGCACCTCCTGAAGGAGGTTTTGGGCTGCAGCTAGGGCCATGCTCATGCAGAGGGGAGCGCATCCAAGCGAGTGCCAGCAGCCAGACCTGCAGCACTGCTAACCCAGCTCCCACCAGGTCCCTGCACTGAATAGTACCTTCCCTCTAACCATGGGTGCAGAGAGGTTGAGATTAAGAAGTTCACATCCAGGCTCCTATGTATGTTTGAGAAAAAGAAAAATGCAATTAAGGGGGGGGGGGAAGGCAAAGAAACTAAAGCTTGCTAAAGCTGAAGGAAGAAGTGCGTACAGAAACTGTTCAGCTAGACTCACTTCAGCAGTACGAGTGCTGCTCAGGTGTCAGAAACCATGAAATCCCCATGGTAAAATGGTGGTGGAAGGGTCCCTGTCCCAGCAGCTTGCCCACCCGATCACCACTGCTGTTGACAATGACAGTGCAAGCACGTGTGTATTGCTGTGTGAAGTAACTCATTTGGATCATTTCCCTTGCTCGTTTCAGGAGAAGCTTTTATGAACTTAGATACAATCACTTCACCATGGCACCTCCCTTCCCTCCCTCTGCCCAGATCCGATTTCTCCTTACTCCTGAGAAACCCTGCTCTTTCTTCTTCCCATGGAGACTATGACGGATGGAAACTGGCTTCAGCTGAAGTAAGAAAATGTTTGGTTTCAATACACGGGAAAAGTTACTGACACAGGAAAGAAGCATGACTATAAAATGACTGTAATGGTGGAGGGTCACCATGGATCAAGGGGGGTGGGTCCAACAACTGCCAGGAGTGATGACCAGCATCGTGAGCGTGCCTTTGTTCAGATGACAGAGGTGATCTTGGAAGACCTCTAAAGCCTGGTTTTCCTTTGCTTTTCATACCTTGGCACAGCAGGAGGCAGTGCTGGGGAATTACCTTGAAAAGTGGTTGCCCGTACCCATATTTAGAAGATGTATCACAGCAAGAACAAGAAACCACTCTGCAGATACCTCCAGTACCTCTGGGTCTTTGATGTTCCAATAGACATAGCCAACACTACTACAGTTACACATAGTGCCACTGAGAAATGTGTGTATTATTACACGTTATGTGCAATTTACAGTGAGTTAATGTAAGTTTTGGGAGCCTATTGTTGGGTTTTTTTCTGCAGTTCAGACATGAAACCCAGTGTATTAAAAATAATAAGACACCAGTTTAATTAGGAATCTTGATGTAGGAACCAGGACACAATGCAATCAACACGTATAAATTGAGGGCACGGTCTGGCGCTTCCTGGCATGTAGAAATGTTTGAGACAAGATTATAAGCATGTTGCACTAACCGTAAGTTCACAGTTGGATGCTTATTCAATAAAGTAGTTCTGTTTAGCTGCAGCAATTAAATTAGTACAGAAAATGCTAGCACATCTCACACACACCTTGCTCTGCTCCTTCTCCTTCCAAATGTCGCTACTGACCTTTTCTGCAGCTCTTCACAATTTTTTATGGGTTTGTGTAATTACTGACCGTATATCTAAGTTTCAACCTGAACATCAGTAGCTCCTATGGATCGTATAACCAGCATTTAATGAAAGTTATTTCTTTGGCAGCTATTGGCAATGGGTATGAATGCTTCCTCTGTATTAATAGTTTTTCTTAAGAAAGGCAACAGTTACCAGACAAGCAATTTATATCATTCTTCAAAATACTAGAGAATGTAAAAGCGGTGCTCTTTAGGAAATAATAATCCCTTTACCCAAGGACACACACACATGTATCTACTGGGGAAACATAGAACCACAGCCTAGTTTGTGTTGGACCTACTTGTGTTGGACCTTAAAGCTCATCCAATTCCAACCCCTGCCACGGGCAGGGACACCTTCCACTAGAGCAGCTTGCTCCAAGCCCCTGTGTCCAACCTGCCCTTGAACACTGCCAGGGATGGGGCAGCCACAGCTTCTCTGGGCACCCTGTGCCAGCGCCTCAGCACCCTCCCAGGGAAGAGCTTCTGCCTAAGAGCTCAGCTCAGTCTCCCCTCGGGCAGGTTCAAGCCATTCCCCTTGGCCTGGCCCTGCAGGACCTTGTAATAATTGCGGCCGAAAAGCTCTTGGACTGTATTGTACCAATGCAATCAACAGTTTAAAATACACTCTGAAATAAGACGTCAACACCTAGCTTTTAACATTTGTCAAGTAGCACGATGATCAAATTATACTTAACCTTACATTTGACTGTGAAATTTTACAGGCAACCATTAACTGCTATCGCTTCCCCCCCCAACACCTGAACCAGCACATATGTTCAGCTATTATTGCCAACAGAATAAAATGTAAGTAGCATCGTGCTAGAGAAAATTCTCCCTGCAGGATTAAGGAGTCCACATTTAATATGTTGCTACCCCAGGATTTTTTATGTTTTAAGTAACATTTTTTCTAGGTAACATTAATGCAGACTATGAGTAAGGAAAAAACTGCCATACGATCTTCATTCCCAACTGAAATGTAGCTCACCGCCTTTTGGAACCCTCTCCTTGTTTTAACTACATCAAAAAAATCACAGTATAAGACATTTCATCTTGGTCTTTCAATCAAACCCCGGAGCTAATGTTACCCCCATATTTCATTCCATGAGGTCAGGATCAGACCCAGAGTTCAGTATTTTCTATCAGTCTTCTGCTTCACACATCCCATCCCTTTCATGATGGAGACATCTATTTTTATGATTTATAACAAGGTACTTGGTGCTTTTATGATGTTTCCAACCTCTGCATCTCAAAGTACTTCTTAAGGGTGGCTACACAGTACCTCAACAACATAAAACTGATAAAATCGTGGCAGCAGCTAGGAGACAGATTCAGCTCTGCTCTGTTTGAAATTAAATGAAACCTTCATTTTACCTCCTCTGAATTGCAAATACACCAAATAACTCTCTGCTTCTGGCATAATATTCCTCTGTTTTCAGTTCTTGCATTTCCTGTTTACAACAAGTGTAATGTTTCCACTTTGCTGATGATTTCTCAAATAGTGAATAAAATGGCAGCAAAGGCTTCATGCTATTTTTTGCTTATTGTGTCTCCTCTGCAGTAATTCAGCATATCCTGACAATACAGATCATTTAAGAAGCGTATTCAGAAGAAAGTTGCATGGCTAGAAGGCAATAACCCCAGGACGTAAGCAACTGCAAATCTACATTTCCACCCAGGAAGAAATATCTTTATGCAGATAAAAGCATGTAGGATATATTCTGAGTTTTGTCTTTCAGTTTTATCACTATTAGAACAGATCAGCACCAAAGTTCAGCTATGAACATCTTCGGCTGCCACTGACAGATGGCAACTGTGAAATACTACAAATTCACAGATATAAATATCTTTTAGGCAGGACATTTGAGACCCGTTTTAACAACCTTCATGCTAAAAACCTTAATGCTTTGCTTTGCCTATTACAACCGTAACCAAAAGATTTCACTCCGAGTTCTCTGCAACTGGTCTGTACCTTAGACCAACAACCAACGACCTGACCCATGAGCAGGGCTCTGGCACCCCCCAGTTCTCCAGCCCAGTACAGTCCTTGAAGCTTGCAGAAAAAGTTCATAGCTTTATTTACAGTGGTCCCCGTGCTCCAATGCTGCTATTCTGAGCAGACATTTGTCATGCTAATTCTGCCTCTACACCACGACGGCGGGTTGGGTTTAGTTGTGGGTTTGATAGATTCATAACTCATTGATACCACCAAAATGTGCCATCACTTCCAGAACGGAAACCCTCCTGCAGCAGGGAATAAAGAACCCTCTGCGTCGTTTCCCAGCGCTGAGGAACTTGATGGTATTTATACACCTTGTGAAGAAACAGGGAGGAAAAACACACACTCCTATTTTTGGCTTTTGAATCCTTGTATGTGGAAACAAACAACCATGAACATTTGCCACATGTCCACGTTACTTACGGTTGAGAGGCAGGCTGGCATTGGTCGTCCCTAGCTTGTTGGCAGCGACACATGTATAGTTGCCAAAATGCTCTTCTGTCACATTGGTAACAGTAAGAAGTGATCTTGTGCTATAATTTTTAATAGTGATTCCTTGTTGACCATTGATCAGTCTAGAAAGCAAAAAGAAAATGTCTATAACTCATATACCACAGCAATGATTTTCTTTTATTCTTTCTCTTTTTTAATCTGTTTTTCTCTTGTTTTTCTAGATATATCTGGTAGCACAGTAAACTGTTTGCAAGCTGCCAGCATAGTCTGTCAAGCAAAATTACCACAGCAGCAAATAGGAGAAGTCATGGGCAACGCTGAAGCTGTGGGGTGCTGAGAGGAAAAGGTTCTGTCTGTGTGTCCTACAGTCGAAATGATGGCTGACACTCATAGCCCTGCCTGGCCACTGGACAGGACATAGCTCTCGGATGAAGAGCTTAGGTTTTAAACTGGGCAAACCCAACTGAATATTTAAATAGCCTATTTTGGGGCAGAAAATAGTAATGGTCGGTGTTTCAGAGAGTGTTTTACCAGGCTCTGGAGACTGCTGGTGCTCCTCACACACCTCCAACTGATGGCAGATGAGGGTTAGGTAACTAGAGATTAGACTATGTAGGATTGTGACCACAGTTTATTTGACAGGCCTCTACAGCTACAAATTAGACGTGCAGTTAGGAAAGATGTGCTCAGCATCCTGAGACAGCAGCCTGAATAGGAAGCAGGGAATGGAGCGTGGGAAAAGCTAAACCAGGGCTCTTTTCACCCCAAATTTCATAGGGACTGTGCAGTTTCAAAGCCAAGTCAGAAGCAGCACTGCTGCACTGGGGTAAAGAAAGATGGACAGCTTAAACTTTGTTTTAGATAAACCACGTTTGATCAAAAATGGAGATCAGAAGAGTAACCACATTATTAAAACACAAGCTCCAGCTGATCGATTACTCATAACCTCATATCTCCCATAAGGAGCAGAGTTCCAGATCAAGTATACAGTTTTTGTTTGATATACTGGATGATATAATCATACATCCTGTGAATGAATTCAATCTTCTGGCATTCTGTCTAAAACCAGTTCAAGTCTATCATTAGTTGCACTGCTGCACAGTGTGGACTGACACTTGTTATCGTTACATGAGTGCCTCTGTTCCACTCGGTCACTACATGCTGCTCCACATGCAGGGGGTTTCTCTTGCCTGGGCAGCTTGTGCTGCTTTAAAAGACTCAGGTCTGCTCTGCACAGCCCATGGTTGGGCAGAGGGCATAGCATGTGCCATGGACACACTTGGTTTTGCATGAAAAAATAGGGCTGAAATGCCTGGTTTGGGGTGAATGCTGCAATTAGAACATTCATCTTTTGTCCAAAGGTTTGTCTTTCCACCCTATGCATATGGATGTTTGATGAACCAATGACTGGGCAGCCGTGTGAGGAAAGGCTGAGAGGACTGGGCTTGTTCAGCCTGGAGAAAAGGAGGCTCAGGAGAGACCTTGTCACCATGTTCCAGTATTTAAGAATGTGGCTACAAAGAAGATGGAGACTGCCTTTTCTCCATGGGACAACTTGTAAAGACAAGGGGTGATGGGCACAAGTTACTCCTGGGGAGACTCTGACTGGACACAAGGGTTAAATTCTTACCAATGAGAACAACCAGACACTGGAATAACCTCCCCAGGGAAGTGGTGGATTCCCCAGCATTGGACACTGTTATGATTCAGCTGGATAGGGTGCTGGGTCATCTAGTCTAGGTCATGCTGGGTTAAGAGAGGTTGGACCAGGTGATGCTTAAGGTCCCTTCCAACCTGGCATTCTATGATTCTCCTTCTAAAACTGCCAATATCTGTCCCTCCTTTTTCTGCCTCTCCTGCAGAAAGATCGAAGAGCTTCCCCTGTTCCCAAACCCCTCTGCTCAGATGCTCCAGGCCAGCACTCCATGACAGCTCTATCAGTGTGGTGGCTCTTGGTAGGGTAAAGCTAAGCTAAGCTAAGCTAAGCAAGCATGGATGCCCCTTCCCCAGCTGAGCCACAGCCACCATCCCTTCCTGCTGCCTTTTGGGGTGTGAATCCCATCGCTCCCTTTCCCAGGGAATCATAGGGTATAGGAGCAATAACTCCTTTTCCATCTATGGCTTATTCTTACCACCTGTTTCTAAGCTACCTCCATCATTTCAGCCCATAACTGCAGTTTGAACGACAGCATCTCTATTTTACAGCTGTAAAGGTTTAACTCAATGGGTTGTTGGGATTTCTGCCATCCCCATTCCCCGTTAGAGATGAAATTGTATCAAAACTGAACTGCATCTGCTCAATGTGATCTGCTGCCTTCCCCAGGCTGCCAAAGGGATGAGAACTGGGAGTGCCTGTTGGGTTCTCTTCCCCTCCTTCCCCTTCCAGTGCTCCTGCCATCCAGTGCTTCCCTACATGTCCCCCCCGGGAAGAAGCTGACACTGGGGGCCCAGAACTGGAATGGAGTAAATGGGATGGGATAGATGTGCTATCAATAAGCCACACAATTAACAGACCGAGGAGTCAGCATTAGGTAGCATAAACGCAGCAGTTCTGAGGATTCCCATTTGCAGTTATAAGAACCAGATGCTTTTACTTTCAAATTACTCCTGTGTGCTGCTCTGCTTTGCTTATTGACTGAGCACAGTGTTTATGACTTGTCTGGGTTTTGCCAAGTTATTTTAAGTTTACCAAGTTATATTAAGTGCAGCCACCCTAGGGATTTCTTCACCTTACTGCTTTGTACCAGTAGTTCTAAAGGGAAGAGTGATCTCCATTTTACTTGAGAGACTATGCATCCAGAGAAGCTCATGCATCACTGCCAGCCCTGAGGGGTGCCTTTGGTTTCATATTTGAATACCTTCACATTATTATAATATATTAAGCCATTCTAATGAGTTTTGTTGTTACAAACCTTAGTCTTGTTTGCTTTATCGAGGATAAAGGAGTTTATATTTTTAGATAGGTGCCTTTTAAGGTTCTTCCCTGTGTCTGTTTAATGTCTGAGATCTGATTTCTCTTTAACCCTATAACGCATCACACTTGAACAGTTGTGGAGCTCAGATACTGGGAGTGAGTGCAGCGAAGCCGTTCTCCTTTCTGCAGGAAATCCTTGCACAGCTTTACAACCACACATACTAAAAATTTTAAGACGCTTTTACTAGCTTTTCCTCCAATTTCCACTCCATTCCCAGCTCACCCAACCCTCTCTGGGCCCGCGCAGCCACCCAGCAGCTCCCACATGGAGCTCAAAGTACTGCTTTTGGCAGATAAAGTGCTAAATGGTTGGAAACCTGTCCATGAGACCTCTCCTGGCCTTCCCCAGGCGCAGGAGGAGAGCGGAGGTGGTGTGCCTGCCTGCCTGCCTGCGGGGCTTTAGGCTCCTCACCTTGCCCTTGGCCAAGAGGATCTCAAAGCAGCGAGCGCACCAGCACTTGCAGAGGATTAACAAAGAGCAGCTCTTGCGAGCTCAGTGGTTAGGCAGAAGTGGTCCTGCCAGCTCTCCACCTCACAGACAAGCTCTTTTAACTGACTGTAGTCTGCGACTGCTTTTATGTTTACTGTTAATGGCTATTTTATGATGAGGTGATCCCTGGAGTCTGGAAATTGTGCGTTTGGATATACATTAATCTAAGCAACAATGATACAGTTTAAAGACCCAAAGGGCTTGTTTCAGACACTGAACATATACTTTAGGTTTCGGTTTTAACTCCTGCTGTTCATTTATTCAACAATTAAAAAACAAACCCAAAAGGTCCCAATCTAAAAAGGAAGAAAAAGAAGGTCCCCATCCAAGAGTAAGTGAAGAAAATGAGATCCTCTCTATGCTTTTATCAGAAAATAGAGCAGGGTGTGCACTAACAGTATATAAATCTAGTCTTGGAGTGTATCTGCGGATAGATAACACACCTGCTACTCTGAACTACCTGTGAGAGCTGACTCCCCTCAGTGCTGCACTAAAACAACACCTGAGCTGTCCAAGGCTCATTCTGTGCTGGCTCCACCACCCAGAGGTGAAGAGGATATACTGGAGGAAAAAGCAATGGGTTTCCTCTTTCCTGTGAGCAGTGGAGGCTCAGGGATCCCCAGTACCTTTGTACTGACGTCTGGCACATCTGCCAGCAACAGCAAAATGAAATAGGATGTGCATAATGTTTGAGCAGTAAGACACAACAGGACAATGCATTCCTTGCTGGTTATAGCCAGCCTCAGGTGATACCCCCACTGAAACAGAAGGCACAATTTTGTTGGCCTGAAGTGCTCTGCTTAGGCTTTCCTGCTGCTCACAGTGAGAGGAATTGGTCAGTCTTATAAATAGAAAGGCGATTATCACACTGGAAACAGCACATTGAATCAGGAGGGCTAAACACTGCCCTACAATACTTTGTACATAAAAGATGTTTCTGCTGCAACTTCCTCTAACACGTGCCCAACATAATTTGCATTGTTGGAAAGAGATGCCAATGCATTTCACCAACAGAAGAAAAGCATTCACTGTTATAGATAGTAAAGACCAGTTATAGCATTTTACAGAATGATTTAGGGTATGGTCCATAGTTAGGACCGCTCTGAAAGTCACAAAGAAAGAGGAGCAGCTACAGCCTGTGAAGGGGAGCAGCTGGCCACGGGGAAATGAGCTGACAGATGGCTTCCTATGAAAAATGGTTGCTAATATTCTCCCATCAGCTCCCAGGTTTAATGGGATGTCTGAGTTGAGAAACCCAACTCTCGGAAGCCAGGAAATTCCAGAAGCTGGAAGGCACATCTGGACAGTCACTTACAAGAGACACTATCCGCTTGCTTTTGCACCAGTGTGCAAACCTAACACAAATAAGCTCTTAGCTGAAGTAAGAGCCATAAACCAGTTTTCTATTCAGAAAGGAAAATATCTATCTATTTAATGAGGTGGGTTCTAAAATTCTGCTGCTTATGGTTACACAGCACTAATGGCCTGGAGGTAAAGCTGACTGTAGACAAAACTAAAGCACATAGTCAGCTTCTGGGGTTCAGGCAGAGCGCCCCATGGATGCTGTGGCAGGCAGAAGCTCTGGGGACGATAAACCTATGGCCTAAACAAAGAATGGATCAACTGGAAGAAAGTTCATCCCCATGAAGGTTTGGTTGAAAGTCTTGTTCATGAAACAACCAACCTTTACAACCACAAACCCTCAGCAGGACACGTATGAAGATGGATGGGGTTTTAAATAAAAAATAAATAAATCCTTTCAGTAGAGTTTTTCAGTGCCTTTCTGGTTATTATACATAAAAGGCTGTAATTGCTGAAGCATATTGAAAACTTAGGTTCGTTATAGCAACACTCCCCATCACAGCCCAGCCAAGGGCTAACACCTTTAAGAGCACAGAATCGACAACCACAAGGAAACCAGGAATTTTCCCCCAAAGCCACACACAGCGCAGCTGCTGGAAGCCATCACCTCTGTTGGCTCTGGCTGCTTTAAACTGCTGTTTAAAGCTTGGCACTGAGTTTGGGACAGTCTGATGGTCACATCATCACAGGGGACAGAGCCAGCCTGGTGGTCTCCTCTCTCTTCCACTCTGGTCCCCAGCATCCCCAGCAGCACGAGGGGGTCGGTGAGCACCGGCTACTTACTTCCTCTCTCCTTTGTACCACTCAAAGACCGGGGCAGGAACTCCTGCACCTTCGCACCGTATCAGGCCGTTCCCTCCAAGCACCACACCGCTGGATTTAAGTTCCTGAATTGTGGGGGCAACTGAAAAAAAAGAATTGTAAAACGGACATTTGCATCTCCATACGCAGATCGCTCCACGCCGCTTCTCTGCAGCACGCTCTGTGTTACTCTGCCTGGCGCGTGGTCTCCAGCTTGAGTCACATTCAATCACGTTTTCTTCCAGCAGTGTAAGAATTATCCCACACAGCAGATTCTGAGTTATGTTCTGTGTATCTGGTGTAAAAAAACACAACTGAGACATGAAGAGATATCAAGCCCGTCCTGAAAAAGCTGTTCATCCGACTCAGTTACTCAGCGTAAAGATTAACTATTTATAAGTGTTAGTGTCGTGCAAGATGTATTTAAAACATCAGAATCACAAAGAAAGCACATGAAGAACTGGCTGAGAGGTTTGGTCAGGAGGAGCCAGGGAAGGGATGGCAGCACCCAGGGCCCAACACAAAGACAGGACCAGCACCACTTATCTTTATAAAATCCCAGCCTGGTTTGTGTTGGAAGGGACCTTAAAGCTCCTCCAGCTCCAACCCCTGCCACGGGCAGGGACCCCTTCCACTAGAGCAGCTTGCTCCAAGCCCCTGTGTCCAACCTGGCCTTGAGCACTGCCAGGGATGGGGCAGCCACAGCTTCTCTGGGCACCCTGTGCCAGCGCCTCAGCACCCTCCCAGGGAAGAGCTTCTGCCTAAGAGCTCAGCTCAGTCTCCCCTCGGGCAGGTTCATGTCTTCTGCAAATGCCCCATAAACCCCGTTAGGCTCTGACAGCCTTTTAGCTCTTGTTTTGCGTATTGAAAGAACAAACTTACCTTCACAACTATGAACCAATCACAAATATAATATACCAACGTGACTTTTCCCTGGTTGCACTGGGTACAGAGTTGTTTCAGTACATATATCTTATCTTTTTAAATAGCAAAGATTGTAAATAGCAATAAACATCTTAAAAATAGTTCTACAGATACAAAAACACATAAAAAGTGATTGTCAGTTTTTCTCCTTGCCAGCGAAAAGCAACCGTAAGCTGAGAATAAACCAGAACAAATTCTTCAGGAAAGATTATCAAAGGAAAGGCTGAACAACAAGTGCCTTCTCCCTGGAATTTCTTTTACATCTCTGGTTTTAAACAATAATTTATGTGCATCATAAAAGCGCCGTAAAAACCAAACCACAGAACTTGTAAATAACAACCTGTTTATTTTTTCCTGAGCAGTTTTCCAGATGTTGCTTTAAGGTGTTTATGTACATATAAAATCCTGACTGCCTCTCGGCTGCTTCTTCCACCCCCTCTGCCATTGCTCACGTTAAGAGACCATAATCTTTTATGGGAAGCAGCCACAGTAAAGAAACCTCAGAGCTCTGAAGGAGCAGTGTGACAGCCAGGTTCTGGCCTGGTGGGTCAGGTCCATCGCACACCCATCCATCATTACCATCACCCTTGGCTGTTGTTCCAGGTGCGTTGGACATGGCACAGAAATCCAGCTGTTACAGCCAGGGAAAACAAGCGTGCACTCTTAGCACTTACACACAAGCCTTGATGTTTAACAAAACCAAATAAGGATATTTTGAGTTTGATTAAACAGAACTGGTTCTCTTTTGCCCATCACTCATGTCCTCATCACTCCAATGAAGCAGACAGACAGACTACAGTCTCCAACAGCCAGCAAACACACCCCTGCCTTCAACATTTTCTTCCATGATTACATCCCACCAGTCCATGAATTTCTAAACTCCTAACCAGTAACATGAAAATTTCAAGTAAATAATAAACATAAAACTGATTTGCATGACTACTTCTCCATAAACTGCACAGGAAAACCATCAGACATATTTGTTACTTCATAAAGATAACAATGACACATAAAGCTTACTCCTTCCCGAGAAATGAAGCACTTTGTGCAGCCAAGACCTTTAAAGAATAACCTTGAGTGAGACTGATGACATGAAGAGCTGTGAACAGGTCACATTCTGTCTTTGCTCCTACAGCACCATGTGGCACCGACATCTACTGAGAGCACCGCTAACCTCATAGGTCAGCTTTGAAAGAATTAGAACTAAGAATGCCCAAGATGAGCCACACAAACCATACAAAAGCGTCAGCTGAATGATGATCAGCTCCTCCAGCTCCAAACCCTGCCACAGCAGGGACCCCTTCCACTGGAGCAGCTTGCTCCAAGCCCCTGTGTCCAACCTGGCCTTGAACACTGCCAGGGATGGGGCAGCCACAGCTTCTCTGGGCACCCTGTGCCAGCGCCTTCACCCTTTCTCCCATAACCATGGAGTGGGTCCCTGGAAAGCTTTGTTGTAAGAGGCTTTGTTTTTCCTGCATTATGCAAAGGGAGTGAAAATATTTGGGTTTGGGGCTTTTTTTCTACTTGAGAGTGGGCAGGATTATTAACAAAAAGCCTGAGTTTGAAGTGAAGGTACGACCCTGCGTGCACCCTGCTCAGACAATACTGAATCCTCAAGAGCTGAGCAGAAAGAGCAAACAAAACACCAGCGAAGGCCTGAGTCACATATAGGTTCTTGTCTATAAAGTGCCACCTCCCTGCTCCTCGGTGGGACCTGCTCACGTTTTGCGGGGTGTTCTGTGGGTTTTGGGGGACTTTGGTTTGCTTTGGCTGTTTGTTTTTTAAATAAGTCACTGCTAATAAATTCATAACTCAAATTATCCATAAAAACACAGAGCTTGCCAATGCTTTTACCAGCAGGAGCCCCAGGCACTGTGCTCCCAGTGCAGCTGGGAAGGGGATGCTGGCTGGATCCCAGCTACAAATCACGATTCCAGGCTTTGCTGTCTGCTGAGACCTAGGTTTGTTTGGAAAATATTGGAAAACTTCTGAAAAGGAAGGCTTTTTAGATCTCCCTTTCAGAAGGATTTCAGCTTCTGCTCTTTCGCAATAAACCTAAAAATCAATATTCCCTCCTCTAGGAAATCCCTGGTTAATGCTGGGATGAAAACGGAAACCAAAGACAGCTTGGAGTCACCATTCTCTCAGATTTCCCCTTGTCAGGTTGTTTTCTTGTTTGGACTATAAAAACAAACTGTGATTCAGGCACGTTTCTGGTGCACTGATTAGCTACATGCTGAGCACAAAACCATCAGCCCCTACTGCTCACACCAGTGCAGAAGACTGAGTAACTCTCAGGTGAAATTCCACACCTAAATACCTGCTGCTCTCGGAGCCAAGCTTTGCTTTGGAAAGGGACAAAGATGTGGGAAGAGATTTTCAGGTCTCCACTATTCCGTATTTATTTTTCATGATTTCCATGTGATCATTTAAAGACTCATTTTTGAGAGGACATTTGTGATGTGCTCCTACTGCTGTGGGTTGTGCTGCATAGAGATGCTTGCTTGTGCTGCTGGGGCTGCATGTGTGTTCCCCTGTGTCAAAGATTCTGAGATTATAACAACGAGCAGGGATACTTTATTGATCAACATACGTGTCCTTTTGCAAAAGGAAAGCTCATTTATTATGTTAACAAGTGGTCACAAGGTTCAATTTAATTCTGCCTTCACTGTTAGCCAATGTATATTAGTTGAGATCTCATCTCAATCTCCCCTCTGGCACGTTAAAGCCATTCCACTTGTCCTGTCCCTACAGGTCCTTGTCCAAAGCCCCTTTCCAGTTTCTGTAGCCCCTTTAGGCACCAGAGCTGCTCTAAGGTCTCCCTGGAGCCTTCTGTTCTCCAGGCTGGAGAAGAGTTTCTACAGCAGCAAGGAGAGGTTCTGGCCATCCAGGAAAACATTTTCATTCAGGAGTGTAATAATGATGACTTAAACCATTACAGAAAATCATTTGGCATCATTAATGATGCAGCCCTGCTCCATGCAGCTGATGGATCAAACAGACGCTAACAGAAGTCCTGAGTGGACAGCAGAAGGCAAGGGATTGATACAGATGGACACAAGCTTGAAGATCTGATGAAAGTTTAAAAAGGTAAAAAAGAAAGAGCAGCTTTAATCCATTATAAATAAAGTAATTACAGCTGGGAAAACAGTGGGAAAACAAGAGAAATGTTCAAGAGTCAATGCGAAAGAATCCAAGGCCAAAGGGAGGCACGCGCAGGTAGAAGTCCAGCAAGCACTCCCTCCAACACAGGTTTTCCCTTCCACACGTTAGATGGGAAGAGGTTCCAGTCATTTTGCAGAGACACTGACGTGCTTCTGCGTGCGTACAGAGCACTTCATTGTAAATAACTAATGAACACACGCATGAACAAGAGAATAACAACTTGTCTCCAAGGTATAAAGCTTCAGTGGAGAGTGAAGCACTTACCTGGAAGATCCTACGGGAGGGAGGGAGAAAGGGGGCGAGTGCCATAGAGCTCCCAAAGGGAAGGAACTTGATAGTGAAGTTATTGCTCTGATACAAGACTAAATAACTTGTAACAGTGATGTCAACAAGAGAACCTCCCATAAGACTAATCATTGTAAATGTATTTGTCGTTTTTATATCTCCTAAAGAATGGTTACGTAAAATCACCAAGAAAAAGATACGATTCTATGTATGAGTTAGCAGCACCAGGCTTTAGTGACGCGCGTGCGCGGGTTTGCTCTCCCTGTGGTACTCATTCAGTCCTCTCCCACAGCTCATCCCCGCAGAGCAGAGCACTTAAAATAAATGCTTAATTTCTGACTTGAAAATAAATTACTGGAACTTGTTCATATCAATTTCTCAAAGATGTGTAAGTGCTTTGCTAGGAAAGGCTTTCTCAAGTGGGTGCTCAGAGGCTCAGCTTAACTGGAGTTATACTAATGCCCTTTCGCGTCTCTTCCTGCATGAAATGGCTCAGGAGGTAAAGCTGTCCTTGACCCAAGATACATATTTATTACTCCAACGAAATACATATTTATGTGTCCTCACCAGAAGAGCAGGACGGGAGATGTGTTCAAGGCCAGGTTGGACACAGGGGCTTGAAGCAAGCTGCTCTAGTGGAAGGGATCCCTGCCCATGGCAGGGGTTGGAACGGGATGAGCTTTGAGGTCCTTCCCAACCCAAACCATTCCATGAAAAGCACCATGGAGA